TTTGAATTGTGCGAGTTTTCTTGCAGATTCCATCATGCCTTCAGACACAATATCTTCATTTCTCACATTATCATACGACGATCAAGCTTCTGGCGGCACGACTGTCTCTTCTGTATTTAAATCAGATGAGAGCTATGTAGAAAACCCATATTTTGACCTTTCGTCTATTGCATTTGATGCTGCCACGGGCGTACTTATGAACATTGGTGACAGCATCGATGCTACCATAGTGATTGCATTACCGCGTAGTATAATGGATCAGATAATTGAAGTAGAGTTGCCGTACGGAAGTGGAGCTATGATGACTCTAACAGACGATTTATCAATGTCGTCGTTCGGCGCTAACTTGCCATGCAGTGGGTGCGTCACACTGAATGAACGCAGCTCAACGGAAGGGAATTTGGAGTATAACTTTGGTAACGCTGAATTCAGTCCACTGCCTGTGACAACTGGGGACATTACCAATATGGCCAATGCGATGACGATAGATTTCAATGTCCGTCTAGAGGACAACGAAAACATTTCCAACCAAACGGAAGAGTGGATCATGGCTGGTGTAATGTACGGTCGTAACGGCTCACATATATGGGTTGGTCAGATGGCTGTAACAGCATTGGTTGACGAAACAGAGAGAGTGCCCTATCTGAATACGAATACGCAATTGGGAAGCCATATAAACGGGGAGGAGGTACATCAAGGGTTAGTGGCATAATATGCGTACACATGATAAACAATACCAAGAATTACATCTAGTTTCACGAAGGCATGAATGTATTTTAAATAAAATATTTAGAATAAAGTATAGTTCGTAATTTTTCATAGCGCCTTATACGATATATGACGAATAAATCGGATAATGATTAGAGGAGACCATAAAGACTCATGGGTAATGGGCGTTACTTAATTTATTTTATTCAATCTGTGGATTTGAATGCAGCTCGAGTATCTTCCGGGACAAATAGTTTACGGGACAAATTATCGAACTATTCATGGAACGGAGTATACACCAATTTAAGACGTGGGAATTAAGAGTTGTTATGCGAGACGGAAACGTGATTAGTGTAGATTTAAATTGATACACTAAAATAGTCACGTGTTAATTGTGGTGCATACATTTCAGCTGTACATTATTGTGGTGTATTTTCGTCGACATCATGACTGAAAAAGAGTTTATAATTACATTATTATATTCAATGATTATTCAAATCCGATACATCGAAAATAACCACAACACTTAATGACGTAAACCAATCCAGAATCAATTTATACAATTCGTAACAATGCTCGTTACAAAATAATCGTATGGCGAGAAAATACAATTAACAATATGTATGTAATTTTCAGTGATAGTGTGACTATTTCCGTTGACATATGGCACTGTGGCCAAAGAGACGTAGACACGTGTGGCGGGCTTCCGTCACGAGGACTTGCTGTCGATGTGAAAGTCGTTATCATACTACCTCCCTATGTTACATTTGACGGCGTTGTACAGTGGAACAATCTTGACAGTGAACCAACTGCGGTATATATCCAAGATACACTTGTACAATTACAGGTCGGTGAACTCATGACACAACTAACTGAATATGCTAGTCTATAACACCTGATAGAGTATAATTATTTCTATTAACACTCAATAATTACTATCACATCACATAACTTGCAGTACATAACTTCCACATTGTCTTGATTAATGCATTGTTTATGAATATTCGATGTGTAAAGACAAATTTCTTACAATGAAGGTTACAATAGTGTCTATTTTTTTTCTAGCTTGGTGACATTAGCTTCGGCTACGAGCCTCACATCGAATTCAATGTCACAATTGACCCAAGTGGGATGGCAGCGGGATTAAGCGGTTCGACATTTGTTGGTTTGATTGAAGTGCTCTACAGTACAAGGGATGGTAACCTAAAAACAACGAATCTTGAAGGAATAGATCTGATATATACGAAGACAATCACAGGTAACAACGAATTGGTCATGAGCCGAATAAATATTCTCTCAAGCCTGTGCACTCAAATGTATTAGTAATTCAATTACGTACTATTTAGCATAAGTATATTGCATTATGGGAGAATATCACTAACAAACTTTTTCCGCCCATGTTATCAATCAAGGTGTATAAAATTGCTTCACGTCCCTAAACACCAATATACAGTAAACATGAAATGCAATTGTTGTCAAAGACTAATTGATTCGTGTGATGTTACGTGTAATAACATATATTCTTCAATTCGGTTCGAATCACCTTGAAACTGAACGCGTACAGCTCAATAATACAACTAAGCAATTCATCGTTGAAGAATGCTGTATATAAACCAGCAAAATACATATCAATTGTTTATAAACCAATTGTTTACTCCAAAGAATCATATGCCATAACAATGCAATAACTTGAGCAGAATTTGTAACAAATCCACACTGGCTGCTATTCACTGTAATGGAGTGGATTATTTCAATGTTTGGGAAAATATGTATCCTGACCCATAGTGACATTGCTTTAAAGGACGGTGGTCGTCACGCCGCGTCGTGTTCGATATGCGACCACAGCGATGTACACATTGCCCGACGACCACCACCCTTTAATTTTTCTCTCAAAAACAACTACAGTTCAGAAATATATCCATGTTCGAACATCGTCATTTAACTGATGGTTTTTACTACATCATATCATTTTGGGTCGACAAAAAACGCTTTCGCTTCCAACGAAATTGTGAAGTCAGTTTATTACACTATTGACTATTGGAACAATGTCCGTTGGTAAATAAAACGTTATTGGTATTTAATCATCTACGTCCTTCAATTCTAGTATCTATGAAGAAATAACTCTTTGAAATGGGTGTATTTCATAGTGTGTGATCTGAAATGAGACCATCAACGACAATACATCGCTTGTGTGCAATTGTTTGAAAAGTATGCTCTTATACTTTTTGTGGAAGTGATTTAATTCTATTTACTGTTTCAGATTTTGGAATCGTTTTACATCATTTTTACATATTTTTGACACAAATAATTATGTCATCGTCGTTCAATACGAATAGCATAATAAAATTCAAATCGTAACTTTTTAATGTCTCATAACTTTATCAGTAAGTGCAAAACAACAATTACCGCTACTTCCTAATGGACGTCGTGTGCAATTTCACCTGGAGCGATCGCATGCAAAAGTACATACGTAATTTATGAAGGTTTATTCTTTCTATCACATTTATGAAGTAGAATCCGCTATGAATGACAAAACGATATAGGTGTAATCAATTTGGGGATTATATCGTGATTTAATTCATTCGTGTGCAATTGATTTGTATGATTGTTGTTATAATTAATTAACGTTATTAATACAATCTAATATTTCAAATTAGCATACCAAGTTGAATATTAAATCAAGTAACGCTTTGTTACATATATGTATATATTATTACACTCGTATAAAACTTGCCGTGGGGACAGTGCACAATGCACCATGTATTCACAATGTTAAGTATGGTAACGATTTATATGCACAGTTTTATGTAAAAGAGTCCCTGTGCTGAGCTCGTTATTACAAAAAACTGAATAATGAATATATTTATTATTATTATTATTTGAATTATATCAGGTAACAGCGGCGCAACTGTTCCTAGTCTCATACAAGGTAACACCTGTACCTGTCCCTTTGATGGAACTAATCAATGTGCATGTTGTGTGTCTGGAGCGTCTAG